AGGTTCAAGAAGGGTGCTCTCTTGTGAGGGGGTCTGTGTTCCACCACTGAGCCACACTCCCAACCCCTGCACTGTTTCTTCTTATTTGTTTTGCCTGCATGTATGCCTGTGTGTGGGGGTCAGATCTTGGAGTTACAGACAGTTGTGAACTGCTATGTGGGTGCTGGGAATTGAACCCAGGTCCTCTGGAAGAAGACTCAATGCTCTCCACTCCTGAGCCATCTCTTCAGCCCTCCTCTGCAAATTTATATTTGTATCCTTTTGTTGCTGTTTTTTTGTTTTTTGGAGACAGGGTTTCTCTGTGTAACAGCATTGGCTGTCCTAGAACTCACTCTGTAGACAAGACTGACCTTGAACTCACAGAGATTCTCCTGCCTCTGCCTCCCAAGTGCTAAGATTAAAGGCATTCCATACCACTGCTCAGTATTTGCATTCTTTTTGGGGGGGTTTCTCTATATTGTTTTGGAGGTTGTCCTGGAACTTGCTCTGTAGACCAGGCTGGCCTCGAACTCACAGAGATCCGCCTGCCTCTGCCTCCTGAGTGCTGGGATTAAAGGCAAACACCACCAATGCCCGACATTACATTATGATTCTTTTTGTTGTTGTTGTTGTTGTTTTGTTTTTGTTTTTTGTTTGTTTGTTTGTTTTTCAAGACAAGGTTTCTCTGTGGCTTTGGAGGCTGTTCTGGAACTCACTCTGTAGACCAGGCTGGCCTCGAACTCACAGAGCTCCGCCTGCCTCTGCCTCCCGAGTGCTGGGATTAAAGGCGTGCACCACCAACGCCCGGCTTACGTTATGATTCTTAACACCAGGAAAATTACCTCTATGAAGTAGCAATGGAAATAATTTTATGACTGGGGTCACCACAACATGAGGAACTGTATTAAAGGGTCACAGCATTAGGAAGGTTGAGAACCATTGCTCTAGCTTGTGTGGTCTGTTATGTTTTTGTAGCTAGTGTTATATGTAGGGAGTGAGTAAATCCTTACTGAATGTATGTTGTTGAAATGGGCACAGCCATGTAAGGACCTGGGCAGGACTCAGAGGGATGACAAATCTTCTTATGGTTGGAGTAAAAATGTTGACAGTGAAAATGCCCACCGTAATTCCCCTGCTGTGGAATTATCCTTTTGTACAGTGAAGATCTGTCACTCCAATTGATTTAATAAAAAGCTGATTGGCTGGTAGCCAGGCAGGAATTATAGCCAGGACAACCAAACTAGGAGAACGATGGGAAGAAGGACAAAGTCAGAGAGACACCAGCCAGCTGCCGAGGAAGCAGGATGTGTAGAAAATGAGGTAGCAAGCCATGAGGCACATGGCAACACATAGATAAAAAATATGGGTTAATTCAAATGTAAGAGTTAGCTAGTGGCCGGCCGGGCGTTGGTGGCGCACGCCTTTAATCCCAGCACTCGGGAGGCAGAGGCAGGCAGATCTCTGTGAGTTCGAGGCCAGCCTGGTCTACAAAAGCTAGTTCCAGGACAGCCTCCAAAGCCACAGAGAAACCCTGTCTCGAAAAACCAAAAAAAAAAAAAAAAAAAAAAAGAGTTAGCTAGTAACGAGCCTGAGCTACCAACCAAGCATTTATAAGTAATATTAAGTCTCAGTGTGCTTATTTGGGAGTTGCTGGCAGGACAGAAACTTCCACCTACACCCTGCCCCAGATGTTAGTGGACTGAAGACTACACCCTTACAGAGATTAGCTAAAACTACCTCCTTGTTCAGCTATATGCAATAACCTTGACTCTCTGTTCAGCTATATATACTAAACACACTGAGTTTCCAGGGTGTGATGGTTTGGCTAGGAATGGACTCCATAGAGTTTATATTTGGATGCTTGGTCATTAGAAAATGGCCCTACTTGAGAGGGATTAGGAGGTGTGGCCTTGGAGTGGGTGTGGCCTTATTGGAGGAAGTGTATCATTGGTGAGGGCTTTCAGGTTTCAAGAGCCCAATGCAGGCCCAGTGGCTTTTTCTCTTCTTGTCTGCTGATCCAGATACAGATCTCTCAGCTCTTTCTCTAGTACCAAGCCTGCCTTTGTGCCTCTATGCTCCCCACCCCCTCACCATGATGATAATGGACTAAACCTCTGAAACTGTAAGCAAGCCCCAATTAAATGCCTCCCTTTGTAAACGTTGCTGAGGTCATGGAGTCTCAACACAGCAGTGAAGCATTGACTAAAACTCAGTCTTCTCTATCAGAGAGTCAAGACCACCCAATGTCAGCTCTTTTGTATAGCTGTCCTTCCTTTATTCCCTTGACACCCTGTTTGGTGGTTTGAATGTAACTGGCTTCCATAAGCCCATAATGAGTGGCACTATTAGGAGGTGTGGCTTGTTGGAGTGGGTGTGGTCTTGTTGGAGGAAGTGTGTTACTGTGGAGGTGGGCTTTGAGGTCTCATATATGCTCAAGCCAGGCCCAGTGTCTCAGACCATTTCCTGTTGCCTGTGGGTGAAGATGTAAGGGCTCTCAGCTCCTTCCCTGGCACAATGTCTGCATGTATGCTTCCTTGCTTTCTGCCATTGTGACAATAAATGGACTAAATCTCTGAACCGTAAACCACCTACCTCAATTAAATGTTTTCCTTTATAAGAGTTACCTTGGCCGGGCGTTGGTGGCACATGCCTTTAATCCCAGCACTCGGAAGGCAGAGGCAGGGAGATCCCTGTGAGTTTGAAGCCAGCTTGGTCTACAGAGCGAGTTCCAGGACAGCCTCCAAAACAATAGAGAGAAACCCTGTCTCGAAACCCCCCCAAAAAAGAGTTACCTTGGTTCATGGTGTCTCTTCACAGCAAGAGAAGCCCCAAGATACCCCAATAAGGCCAGTCTCTGGAGCTGTGCAGGGCCCAGAATTTATAAGCAAAATCATAACACAGAGAAATTATTTCTGTTTTACAGAGAAGCTGTGAAGGGCATAACCTTTAGCACAGTTTTATATAGAGAGATGGCAGGAAGAAAGGGGGCGCTAGCCCTCAGATAGCATTTTTTGTTGCTGTTTGTTTCTGTTGTTTTGTTTTGTTTTGAGACAGGGTTTCTCTACATAGCCCTGGCTGTCCTGGAACTCACTCAGTAGACCAGGCTGGCCTTGAACTTACAGAGATTCACCTGCCTCTGCCTCCCACATGATGGGATTAATATTTAACCACCACACACTATTGTTTAAAGTACTAAAATGTGTGAAATAACCTAGTCTCAATTTTCTGACACATATCGGTGGCAAAGGTAAATAAAATTCAGCCAGTTTTCCAGAAAGACTGCTTCAAATTAAAATTCAACATGGAATCTGGAAGCTAGGTGTATAGCCCAGTGGGAGACCAACTCAAGCACAGGTGTGATAATAAGTTAAGTCCCCAGTGAGGTGTGTGTGTGTATATGTGTATTGGGGGGGTGAGGAGGTGGAGGGTGGGGGGTTATGACAGAATTAGGATTGACAGAAACCTAGTATTAGCACTGCTGTCTGGTGAGCCAGGCAGTGCTAGTGAATGCCATTAATACTCATTTTACTAAGTCCATCATACTATAAAAGCAGTTGCCACCAGCTCTCGGGAGGCAGAGGCAGCTGGATCTCTGTGAGTTTGAGGCTAGCCTGGTCTACAGAGTGAGTTCCAGGACAGCCTCCAAAACAATACAGAGAAACCCAGTCTCAAAAAATGAAAAACAAAAAAGTAGTTTCCTTCTTCCTGGAGACTTTAGTGAACAGTAGCTAACTAAAATCTCAGTTTAAAACCCAAATTGCCAGGGTAGTAGCAGGAGGGCCAGAGAAGCTCTTGCTGCTCATGCAGAGGACCAGGGTTCAGTTCCCAGCACCCACGATTCTTAATTGTCTGTAACTCCAGTTCTAGGACTCTGATGTCCTATTCTGGTCTCCTCAGTACCAGGCACCCACGTGGTACACAGACATACCTGCCGAGAAAACACTCATTAACTAAAAAGAAAAAGAAATGTATTTATTGAGACAGATCACACACAATGTTGTTCTAGCTGACCTCGAACTCAGAGATCCACATGCCTCTTTCTCCTGAGTGCACTGGGATTAAAGCCATGTGCCACCATGCCCAGTGCCAAGTAAATAAATAAATAAACCTTAAAAAAGAAAACAAGACAACACATGCTGTCTGGGACTAGTGAGGTGCAGTATGGGAAACCTGACTTTTGAGTTTGATCCGCAGTACCCACATGGTGAAGGAGAAAATCACTCCAGTAAAATGTCCTCACCCCCCACATTCACATGTGAGCAGGCTCATGAACATGCACATACAAAGCAAATAAATGAATGTACTATCTTTTTTAGAATGTCTGGAATTATTTCTAATGATTGTGCATTATGATGCTTCACAGCAAGGCTTCTAGATTCTACTAAGAGGACAGTCATTGCTTAGCAGTAAGTAAACTTGAAAATACAGTGCCCGGAAAGGGCTGTTTATATATTCTGCTTTCACAATGTAACCTTAAATGTGGGCTCCAAATCAAACTGACATGCTGTATATGGCTTCCACCTTAAATCACAGGCACCTACCAATTCAAACAAAACATGGGGGGAAGGGCGTGGTGAGCACCAAATTATCTCGGGGGATTCTTCATTGGAGAGACATCAGAATCAGAGTCTTGTTTTCTACTATAACACTTTTCTCGCTTGCATGCTAGAGTGGGTCATGGCCTTATATAAAAAGGAACCCAATTTGTCTGGGTCCTGAAGTCCCCAGGGGAAGAGTGTTACCCAGAGAGCCGCCCAAGGAGCCAGCTAAGGATTCATTCCTGGCCACAAGCATCACCCAGTCCTGAGTGACCTCTCACACCTAGACCCCTCCCCAAATCCCGTGGGCGGGCCTGAGCAGAGCCCCGCCCTAGTCTGAGGCCCCGCCTCCTTCGACCGGGAAGCCCCACCCCCTACAGGGAGAGCCCGGCGCCGGGCTAGGGGCGGAGCGGCGGGATGAGGGGCGGGAGCGGGAGTGGGGGCGGGTCCGGGTCGGGCTCCCGGAGGGGCGGAGTTGCGGCGTCGCCCTACGCCTTTGGTCGCGGCAGCCGTGCCTCGGGGGCGGGGAAGCTGGCGGAAGAGCGGCGGGGGTCTCGGCGCCCTGCGCAATCGTGGGGAGCAGGACCTGAGGGTTACCGGAGGAACATGGCGCCCTGGACACTCTGGCGCTGCTGCCAACGCGTGGTGGGCTGGGTTCCGGTGCTCTTCATCACCTTTGTGGTCGTCTGGTCCTACTACGCGTACGTGGTGGAGCTGTGCGTGTGTGAGTACGGGAGGCGCGGCAGGCAGGCCGAGGCTGCGGCGCCGCGTTGTGGGCCCGACCTGTGCTTCCCCGCCGGTGGGCTCCCTGGCCGAGGGTTCCGGCCCGCAGTTCCCCGCCGGTGGGCTCCCTGGCCGAGGGTTCCCGGGCCACGGTTCCCCGCCGGTGGGCTCCCTGATCGAGGGTTCCGGCCCACGGTTCCCTGCCTGTAGGATTCTGGCTCTCTGCTCGTGGGGTCCCGAGTTCGGGCCTGCGCGCCGCCCACGTCCCGAGCTTCCGGGTGGCTGCGGTCGCCTTGGGGCTCCCACCCTTCTGTGACGGAATGGTCACAAAGGCCTTTCCATTAGAGAAATCGCCCATAATAGATGGCTCGTGAGGTCAATTTTGCTTTTAAAAACAGCAACAAACAACAAAGAAATCTTGCCTCTCCCAGATTGTTTGTCTCCAAACTGCGCGAGAAGCAGCGCGCGGCCTGCGGGCCCGGGAGGGAGGTGTGTCTCCAAGGTCTGCAGTGAGGGCTCATCCCGGCGACACGGGAGAGCCAGCCTTTCATTTGGCCTGTGTTGGACCCTTTTAAACGTTCATTTCCAATGTCAGTGCTGAACTTACACAACATGTTGTTTTGAGGCACAGAGAATTGAACGAGAGGTGCGTAGCACAATTAGCCTTTTCTTATTGTTTATTTTGAAGGTTTGTGTTTTTATACCTTTAGTTTTAGGGCTTTGCTTTATTTTTACTTTTGCTGCTTCCCCTATTTAATTTTTCACCACGTAGTTCTTACCCGATTTCCCGGACTAAAGGAACAGCATCACGTTATATTAAAAGGACTTATTCACATAGATTGTCTTTAACGTGGAAAGAAATTCTCTGTCAAAATACTCTATGACAGCGAATAATTGAGTATATGTTTTATACGGACTGGCTCTTTTCTGTGTTTATCTCCTGTCAGCATTATCAAATGAAAATCCCAGAAAAAGCAGTCCCTTTGTTTCCCCAAAATGATGTGATTTTAATTTTCAGACAGTACACAGTTATCTGAAGGACAGCCATCCTTTTGGGGAAAGCATATGGGGTAAATACAAAAATGAAAAAACAAAGATGGTAGACCACAGACCTCAATTGTGGGTTTGGATTTGATTAGTTTTGAACCAAGTCTTTGTTTAAAGCTTGAGTTCTGGGGGATGGAGAGGTGATGGCTCAGGAGTTAAGAGCACTGGCTGTTCTTCCAGAGGTCATGAGTTCGATTCTCAGCAACCACATGGTGGCCCTCTTCTGGCCTGCATTGCAGGCATACATGCAGGCAGAACACTGCATTCATTATAAATAAGTAAATCTTTAAAAAACAAAAACAAAAGACTCAAGTTCTGTACATAGAAAGGCTCTGGGGTGTTTATTCTTTGAGACAGGGTCTCTGTGTAATCACCTGACTGTCCTGGATCTCCATAGACAGGCTAACCACCAGGGTTTTAAATCACAACATCCTGAGGAAACTGACTGCTCCTTAGAATATTTGATTTAGAAGCAACAGTGTGCACCTGCCATCTTAGCTTGTGGAAGGCTGAGGTCCAGGCTAGCCTGGGCTACATAGTGAAGCTTTGTAGAACAAAACAATTGGGGCTTTAATCTCAGCACTAGGGAGACAGATACAGGCATATAGTGAGTTCCAGGACAGACAGAGCTGTGTGGAGAGATGTTTCAAAATGACAGCAAAAATGATTTATTTTGTATGATGTACACGGGTGCACATGGGCCAAGGCTCATTGCTTTACCTGCTGAGCCATCTCACTGCCCAAACAAAACAGTATGTCTAGTTATCTCTGAATAAATTATGTAATACCTTTCCAAATAGTAAATTTGTTGAATGCAATGACTTAGACTCATCTTTTTGAATACCAAAATGTTTGCTAAATTGTTGAGTCAATTAGAATTAACTATATTTAAATGTTTCTTGAGACAGGGGTTTCTCTGTGTGGCCCTGGCTATCCTGGAACTTACTCTGTAGGTCTTTAACTCAGAGATTCACCTGCCTCTGCTGGCATCAAAGGCATGTGCCACTGCCACCACCACCACCACCCAGCACCCTTATTAGTTAATTCCTGAAGGAACACTAAAAGATTTGGATTAACTACAAATTGCATAGCTTAACTTGGAAATAGTTTTTGTTCAGAAATACAGTGAAATGAAGTCCTTATTTTTTATTTCATTAGTCCCTTTATTTTTATTTTTTTCTCATTTCATAATTGTTTATTTGTAAATACGAACCAAAGTAGAAGTTCAAATATCTATGTCTGTATATGATAAAAGTAGGCCTGTGATAATTTTTTTTTGTTTTTGTTTTTGTTTTTACGAGACAGGGTTTCTCTGTATTCTGTTGGAGGCAATCAGTCCAGCCCGGCCTTGAACTCACAGAGATCCGCCTGCCTCTGCCTCCCGAGTGCTGGGATTAAAGGCGTGCGCCACCACCGCCAGGCTTAATAATCTCTTTATTTTTAAATGGGTGTGTGTGTGTCTGTCTGTCTGTCTGTAATCTGACCTTTAGGAGCTGGTTCTCAGTTTCTACCCTGTGGGTTGGGGGTGGTTGAACTCAGATCATTGGGCTTGGCAGTAAGCCCCTTGACTCGCTCTTGCCTCTCCAAATAAAGGGGGATGAATGTGAACAGAGGAGTGCTATGTGTTAACTGCCGCAGAGGAGCATTTGCTTTAGTCTCCTTTCTCCCAGCATCTCCAAACGTAGGCGTGTCTCCAGATGAAGGAAGTGAGACTGAGCCAGTGGATGGACATTGCTTAGAACACAACTGACTGGGAAGTGATTCATCTAAGCTCCTGGCTTTCAGAGTGTGATAAGTGAAAAAGTAAAGAACCAGGAATAATACTGAGTTTTAGTGTTAGATTGGAATCCCCCTTGATTTTCTTTCTCTTTCTTTCCCCAAGCTGATGTTTGAGAATGCTAGTTTATACAACATGATTGGTCTGTTTGCTTGCTGTGCTGTAGTGGAAACCCAGAGCCTTCCTTCATGAGGAACACCTTTCATCAGTTTTCAGGTATTTTTTCTTAGCTAGATTTTTTAAAGATTATATTGCAAGGGTGCCAGTTTTGCTGTTAAGGTGCTGGTAGTGTCAGGATTCTGTGTGCTGTCTAAGAAGAGCCCCCATGTCATCATCACCACCGCCCAGCAAGAAAGAATTTTTAATAGTTGGCCTTTTAAGATTTTATTCATTTTGATACAGAGGCCTGTCTTTGTAGTTCAGGGTAGCCTCAAACTCACTGTAGCCCTCCTGTTTTTTCCTAAGTGCTGGGATTGTAGGCTTGTGTCCCCATACTGAGTCTGTATTTTGTACTTTCAAGAGAAAGCTGATATACTTCCTATATTTATTTTGGTTTTTCAAGACAGGGTTTCTCTGTGGCTTTGGAGGCTGGCTTTGGAGGCTGTCCTGGAACTAGCTCTTGTAGACCAGGCCTCTGCCTCCCGAGTGCTGGGATTAAAGGTACACCACCAGCGCCCGGCCTATTTCCTGTATTTAAAAATCCTTATTATGGGCTGGTCAGTGGTGGTGCATGCCTTTAATCCTAGTACTTGGGAGGCAGAGATGGAGGGATCTCTGTGAGTTTGAGGCCAGCCTGGTCTCCTGTGCAAGTTCCAGGACAGCCTTCAAAGTTACAGAAAAACCCTGTCTCAGAAAAACCAAAAAAACAAGAAACAAAAATCCTTATTATGATTGTGCTGCATAGTTTTATGTCAGTTTGACACAAGCTAAAGTCTTCTGAAAGAAGGGAACCTCAATTAAGATGCCTCCATAAAATCATACTGTATGCAAGTCTGTTTTTTTTTTTTTTCCTTCAGGTCTTTCGAGACAGGGTTTCTCTGTGAAATAGTCCTGGCTATCCTGGAACTCACTATGTAGACCAGACTGGCCTTGAACTCACCGAGATCTATCTGCCTCTGCCTTGAAAGTTCTGGGATTAAATGTGTGTACCACCACTGCCTGGCTGGGGGTTTTCTTAATTAATGAGCGATGGGGGAGGGCCCAGCCTATTTTGGGTAGTGCCATCTTGCCATCCCTGGGCTGGTGGTCCACGGTTTATAATAAAGTAGAATGAGCAAGCCGTGTGGAGCAAGCCAGTAAGCAGCCCCCTCCATGGCCTATCATCCAGGCTCCTGCCCTGTTTGAGTGCCTGTCCTGGCTTCCTTTAGTGATAGACTATGATGTGGAAGTGTGAAGAAAATAAACCCTTTCCTCCCCAACTTGCTTTTGGTCATGGGGGGTTTCATCATAGCAACAGTAACCCTAACCAAGACAGTGACCATCATTAATATCATGTACATATATTCAGTGTACTTTTGTTTGTTTGCCTGTTTTTTTTTTGTTTTGTTTTTGTTTTTCGAGACAGGGTTTCTCTGTATTGTTTTGGAGGCTGTCCTGGAACTCGCTCTGTAGACCAGGCTGGCCTCGAACTCACAGAGATCCGCCTGCCTCTGCCTCCCGAGTGCTGGGATTAAAGGTGTGCGCCACCAATGCCCAGCTTATTGCTGTACTTCTAGAGCCTAAAATAGGAGAAACAAACAAGCAGGACAAGGAGGAGGCTGGTGACGTCTTCCAACCTCACCCAGCCTTTGTTTTTTAAAAGATACTGATATAAAGGAAATTCTGGTGACCCTCTGGGTTCTTAGTCTCTCCAATAAAAGAATTGAAGAATGAACTCAAATAGAAGCACATGACAAATTTATTATAATTAAAAGCGAAATTACCGGGCAGGCAGGCTGTAACCCTCAGCAGCCGCCTGGAGGAGGAAATGGAGGGTAGACAGCGTGACGTTTGAAAGGGTCAGGAAGCCCAAAATGACAAGGCAAAGGTGCAGAGTTAAGCAAAGAGGTGGAAGAAGGAAGTGGGCTTCTGGAAAATTCAGAAAACAGTGCTTCAGAAAAGGCAGCAGACTTGATGACCTGCTGCATGCCTGCCATCCATAAAGTAGGGGCAGGGATTCTGGCAAAGAACCATTCAGT